CTTGTTCCTACTAGCGTGGCACTTGTTACTACTAGCTTCTTTAAAATGATACTGGTAAACCAAGATTTCTCTCAAACTGCTCAGATTTTCACACTTTGGAGTGGCCTTAGTAGGGCGGCCACCCTTTGGCCTTCAGGCCTCGTTCGCAGATCCGCGAGCGAGCAGAACGCTCAGCTTCACTTGAAATCGGAACTGGATCCGGCTGGACCATGAAAAGGAGGCCTTTTGGTTTTTTCCTTTCGTGCCTCACTGCCAAGTCCATTGACAAATGTTGGTCCAGCCTGTCCAGTGTTTTTGGTTGCCTCCACCAACCAGCAAAAACGATTCGCGGGTTTGGTGAAGGGGATTAGCGAAACAAACACTCCAAAGAGACAAAAATCCAAGCTCATAGGCTGTTGAAACAATGTGCGGATTTTTGTTATCCGTTGCAAAAGGACAGTGTCCACACTGAATGGATAGACCCACGGTGCCATTACTGGGTCTCCAGTGCAAAGAAACCTCCCAGCTTTCACCACTTCTGAACTTCTGCCGTTTTGCTTCGAGGTATCCCTCTCTTTCACGTGCGTTGGGTTTTCACCTGTTCACCAAGAGGCTCTGCCTGAAACCCACTACTTCAGCGAGTTAGACAGTTAGTCATAGTTTGTGCAGTTTGCATCAAGGTGTCAAAGGACGACGATGGTTTTGCTCTCAGAGCTTGTCCAGAGCAAAGAGGTGTAGACGTTGACTGCAGAGCTCAGCGGAAAGCTGGTTCCCAGCACAAATACACGAGGAGCGCCTCAGGATCCGTTCGTCTAATCCATTAATAGCAATGGCCTCCACCCTAAGAGCGATGGCCTCCACCCTAATAACAAACACAAAGATTGTTTCCTCAGTTTTTCCTTTTCCATCGTTTTCCTACAAAAAGCAAAGGTGTGCGGAGTGCAAACCCAACTTATTTGATCCATTTGGAATATCAGTTTGAGCCCCACCCTTCGAACATGAGAGTAGTCTCTTCAGTGACTCTTCAGCACCTACTAGGAGCATTCTTACTACTAGTAGCAGGAAGCTACCAGGGGCTCCTGGCCTTACTACTAGGAGCAAGGACGCTACTAGGGGCTCCTGGCATCGCTACTAGGAGCATTCTTACTATTAGGAACAATAAAGCTACTAGTCTCTTCAGTCTTCAGCACCAGTCTCTCCCGAACCTGGATCAAAGATCGCGTCATAGCCGGACTTTGCCAAAAAGATTGCCAGATTTTCGGCCAAACCTTGGGAGGCAAACCCGGCCATTGTCCCGGTTTGCTCAATCTTCAATGTTCTACCGTTGAATTGCACTCTTTGATATACAAATATCCTAAACAAGCAATTCTCATTGTCAATGCACCATCCTGAGTTGGCTTTCTCACAAATAGCAAGAGTCCTTGATGATCAACGGGTGACAAAAGGGAGAACTAGGATTCGACCATTCAACCACTCTAGAAGAATTAAGGTTCGACTTCATAGGCATGCAAAAATCGCTCAAGCTGATTAACACAAGTTGAAGAGGCAGTTTCGCAAGAGGCCGTCGCTATTAGGTTCATCGCTAGTAGGGTGGAGGCCATCGCTATTAGGGTGGACACGCTTTCTCACTTTTCCTTCACCGAGAACCGCCGAGAGCCTTGAACTACTGCCTGCTTCACATAGCGAACGCCTGATGTGTCCATCGTCCTCGGATCTTGATATGCTGAGGTCAAAAGGAAACGCTTCTAACGTATTCTAACGTTACTTCCTCGCAAAGAAGTTCTGTGTTGCTCTCGTCGGAGCTTTCTGTGTGCATGTTGCATGCTTTCACTTGTTTCGTTTCAAAATCCTTGGGGAGGAGTTCTCAACCAGAAGTTGAGTGCTGCTCATAGATTCTATCAATGAGATAAGTACCTGCTCGACTGGGCCTAAGTCATCAACCTTCATGTGGGGCACAGGTGACATTTGAAGAAGGTGCTCTTGTTACTAGTAGGGAGTATACGACTTGAGGCGGCAGTAGCCTTCTTTGGAGGGCATAGGAACATGAGCATTTGATATTCTTATTGTGCCACTATGACCCACATGTAAAGCGCACTCACACTCCAAAAAATAACAAGAAACTAGTAGAAACAATAAGCTACTAGTAACAAGTGCATCGCTTCTAGTAACAAGTGCCTTACTAGTAGTAACAATGTTTGCTAGTAGAAACAAATGGAAGGTCTGTCAATATGAGCAGCAGCCAATGATCCACCAACGCTCATGACCGATTGGTTTCTTCAACTCCCATGCTTCTAGCTTTAGAAATCTAGGGCAACACAAAGCCATTGATAGCAATGGCCTCCAACATAATAGCGATGGCCTCGAACCTACTAGCCTTCTTCTTCTTCTTCTTCTTGTTACTAGTAAGAATGCTCCTAGTAGCGATGCCAGGAGCCCCTAGTAGCGTCCTTGCTCCTAGTAGCGATGCCAGGAGCCCCTAGTAGCGTCCTTGCTCCTAGTAGTAAGGCACTTGTTACTAGTAGCGATGCACTTGTTCCTAGTAGCTATTTCAATCTTCCTTGAAGAACCGTTGATGTCGTTTTTTGCGCCAAGGAGCGACAAACGGGTCAAGGTCCGATGTGCTGCTTGACAAGCCTCCGGACTTGTGAAGTTCACCTCATAGCGATACAACTTTGTTTTCGTTCAGTAACAAGTGCATCGCTAGTAGTAACAGGTGCCTTACTACTAGTAACAATGTTTGCTATTAGAAACAAGTGCCTTACTAGTAGTAACAATAAGAATTTAATTAGAATTTAAATACATTTTTTGAAGCCAACTTGGGTTCATGTCTGAATCTTTTGACCTTTAGACCTTTTCTTTTTCTCCGAGTAGCAAGGTGCATCGCTACTAGTAACACGTGCATTACTACTAGTAGCAAATAGCTACTAGTAGCAAGACTGCTCCTAGTAGCGATGCCCTTTGCTCCTAGTAGCTTCTTGTTACTAGCTTTTGGGTTCATGTCTTCTGAATCCTTTGACCTTTAGACCTTTTCTTTTGTGTCACCTTTCTTCCCAAAACCAAAAGGTCACAATGAGTTACCACTGCAAGCTTGTGCCAGGGCAAGTAGACGTAGTCGTAGGCGGTACCCTCGCATGTCGCGACCAAGTCATGGAAGCTGGGTCACCATGTCGGAGCATGAGACAGAGCATGTCCGGTGGGATCCCCAACCTACTAGCGATGGCCTCCAACCTAATAGCAACGAAGATGAGTTTCATTTTGAAGCTCAAAGGCCACTCAACCAGTCGGAAGACCTTTCAAACCTTTGACATGACTCGACTTGAACATCTTGGCCCTTCAAACTGGATCGAACAATCTGAAGCCTCACAAATCTTGTTGAGCATCATCAGGATTCCCTCGTATGTCAACTTGCAAGTGCTCCTGGAGAAAGTGGACAAGTGCTCCAAACCAAACGGAACAATCTGAGAGTTGTGACCTAAAGGGCAAAGAAACACATCCATTGGGGAAATCTAGCTGCGCTTTGTACGCTTAAGGCTTTTCTTGTCAACAAAGCAACGCAAGGAAGCAATCATTTTTGTCCTCACAACCAAGGTTGTGGCTGACTTATCCAAGTCCGACATGGCACGAAACAGCACAACGCTATGAAGTCAAATGGCTGCACTTTCTCACGGCATCCCGAGGCTAAAACCCTCACTGAGCAACACATGCAAATCAATACCAATTCCAAACGATCTAACGTCCTTCTCTGGAAGTATTGGAAGGTCTAACCTGGTGTTTGATCTTCAAATTGTATCTGTACCTTTCTGTTATGGGATTCCTGCTCATTTTGGGCTTGTGTTTCGTCTATTCCGAGCTCCGTGCGATGTCTCCTAGCAGGAGCTGCTCAGTCTGACCAATCTACTAGCGATGGCCTCCAACCTAATGGCGACTGCCAAAAAGACACAGGACGCGTCACAACCACATAGTTTGTGCGGGCTTCCAGTTTCCCTAGCAGGTGTATGACATCATTTTTGCAACGCCCACTTGCCCGTGCTGGTCCTTGAAGACGCCGGGACAATGTTGGCATCTCCTTAGAGCTTCTTGCTCCCAGTAGTAAGGCCAGGAGCCCCTAGTAGCGTCCCTGCTCCTAGTAGCGATGCCCTTTGTTCCTAGTAGCTTCTTGCTCCTAGGCCAAAATCTTTTGAGGAACAAGTCCAAGAATTGACCATGAGATGGACAAAGCAAGGAAGATATGCAGGCTTTCTTGAGGGGCATTATTGATGCTGAGTTAGTTTATAGTTCTAACTGTTTAACTTTAGGTTGGAGGCCATCGCTCTTAGGTTGGAGGCCATTGCTATCAGAAACAAACAATATTGTTTCACCTTTCTTCAGACTTTTGCCCGGGTCCCGTTTGCAAACTCCAAAACAAATGCGCTTGTCTGGGCACCCGCGCGACTTCATACCATTGCAAGAAAGTCAACTGGGTGTCGAAAGCGAAAGCAACGCGACAGCAAAGGCAAGACTTGCAAAGCTTTGCTTTGAGGATCTTTGCAGTGTTTGTCTTAGCAACCAGTGGGCCAGCTATGTGGCGATTCTGCATGTTTGTCCTCCGACCCCCCTGAACAGCGTGTTTGCTAGATTGACCACCACCGAACAAAGAATGAATTTGTTGGTATTTATTTCTCATCTCAGGAACAATCCCCAAGGCACTATCCTGTTGTATCGCACCGTGCGTCTTCTTCTTGTTTTACCAGCCACCACACTTTTGCCCTTACTTGCGCTCTGCCCTTGGAAAAGACTATCCTCACTTCTACAAGGGCATCGCTACTAGTAGCAGGGGCCTCCAACCTTATCTGTAGGTACGAGTAGTTTACTTGTAGGTACTAGCTATCGCTAGCTACTACTACCTCACCTCTGGCCTAGCAACACATAGAAATTGGCTCCTGGCATTTTTTGGAACAAATCTTCTCCGCTCTGCTTACGCTCTGCTTGCGCTTCGCCTGTTGAGGCATCACCCTCTGGCCGAGGCCCGGAGGCACCACCACGCTGGCGAGGACTTGGCGCCTCGAAAGCAGAAGCGAAGCAAGGTTTCAGGGAACCGTGCCTTGGAAGCGAAGCGAAAAGACAACAAGAAATAGCAAAAGACAATAGAAAGAAAAAACAGAAAACGCATTCAAAGAACACTTCACAACTTTATTGTTCAGTACTTGACCAACCTACAAATACACAAAGTACAAGAGTGCATAAATCAAAGCACTTGAGAGCTTCACTCGAAGGGCGTGGGAGTGACGGCCAAAGACATTTAAGGTGAACCTAAAGTGTCCTTGCTCCTAGTAGCGATGCCAGGAGCCCCTAGTAGCTTCTTGTTCCTAGTAGTAAGGCACTTGTTTCTATTAGCTTCTTGTTACTAGTAAGGCACTTGTTTCTATTAGCTTCTTGTTCCTAGTAGTAAGGC